TCGGCTTTGCAATTTATAGGGGTTGGGGTCCGCTGTGGGGGCCTGAATAACTGCTAAGAGGTGTTCCCTAGGCTATTCTCTCTTTCTCTCTCTCTCTCTCTCTCTCCCCCTCCCTCCCTCCCTCCCTCCCTCGCTCGCTCGCTCGCTCGCTGTCTATGGACCGGGATAGAATGGGACAGGATAAATAGGTGTATGTACGAATGTACATACCTAGGTACCTTCGCCCCTTTCTACACGCCTTCGCACCTCGCCGATAAGCTGGCTCATGACTTCAGTCGGTTTGCCCACCCTACCCATATACACAGGAAGTACCGGGGCGCAAGTTCCCACAAACTATCCAGTTCGACCGTTGCAGCTTCTTGAGGCTACGCCACCTTCACTCCACCTGCATCCTAATCCTGAGCGGCTAGCTGCGGAGTCCATGCGACTAACCTTGAAGGCCTTCCAAACATGTACTGAATGTGCAGATCACATGTCTTGCCTTGGCGCGTCGCGGGCTCCCATGGTGTTGCCGGCTGCAGCTTCCTCGCATTTGGATAAGCCGCTTGCATCTCCGGTCTCTGAGACAAGGGTTCTCAGTGCCCCTGAGGTGAATGTGGCGACTTTGGAAGCAGAGGCTGGGCTTCAGGTGGCTGCCTCAGGACATCTTGGCACAAAGCAGATGAACTAGAGCCACGAAAAGCAGGAAGGCGTGCTTCCTCAAGCTGCTCTTCCCAGCGCATGCCCCAGAGGGATTGATAGACTGTGCTGGAATCGTGCACCGAACTCGCAGCAACAATGGCTCGCTCAGGTCTCCGCAGTGTGCCTCATAGTGGTATCTTCAGGCTATGGGTTTCGTTGCATAGGGCACTCTTGCGGCTGGTGCCTGCTGCGTCGAGGCATGTGCCGTGCCTTCGCAGCTCCCGGCGAGGAGGCACCGCAGGGCGCTCAGCGGAGACTGCTTTTTGTTTCTGTCTGGACCTGGTGCTTCGATGCTTGGTAAATCCAAGGTATGCGCAAGTCATCCGAACTTTGGGCGATGCCAGCAGCTGGCAGGACGTGCCCAGGGCAAAGCAGGATACTTGTAGCGGTTGGAAGTGGCAGTGCTGCGGTGCCATCTGGCCTGGCCCATCTTCAAGACTGCAGTGGGATGCGTCCCTTTGATGGCGGAGGATGCTCTCGAGCTCCTTGCCGACATGTGCGAGATGGACCCGAGGGCGGCCAGGGCCCCAAAAGGCTATGAAACCTGCGTGAGGGGGGCAAGTCACTTCGAAACGCGGCAGCTCGTTTCATTTTTCCTGCGCTGAGGCTCTCAACACCGCGACATTCACGGCCGCCATTCTCGCATGCGGCAAGACAGCACAGTGGCTGCAGGCACTGCAAAGCACCATGTTGTGTGAGCTTCGCTGTGCTATCAGCGATGTAAATGTAAACCATTGCAGGTCAGTGTGTTGCTCGAGCAAGCCCGGAGGAAAGAAGTCAAGCTGTGAGCTTGGTGTGCTTGGGCTTGTGCCGCTGAGTGTGGTGTCCTGAGTCGTTATTTTGTGTGAGGTCTGACTTGGGTATGTGCCAAGCGGCGCTGGCGGCCTATGCGGAGCGACTCGCTTGGGCGGAGGCCATGGCCTTACGACAGCTTGTGCCGAGCTTTGCCGTGCTCCCGGCTCCGAGGCTTTGCGGCTCTGGGAGGCGATGTTACGGCATTCGGGATGAGAGCCAGGGAGGGGGTTGAAGATTCGTGATATTCCGCGTGGCAGGCGGAAGAGCCCCCCCGTGGCCTGCTTCCAACGGTCGTGAAGCCCTCAAAGTCGCCGTCATCCTTGCAAAGCTGCTTGAGCAATGAGTTCTTGGAAGAGAGCATCTTGTGCCATGGGCCTTCAGCTTGAGATTGTTCGAACTGTGACTTAGGAGCATAGAGGCCTGCACATCCTTCAACGATGTATGAGCCTTCTCGGAAGCTAGCAAGACGGTCAATGCTCTTGCAGCTCACAGCTTGTCAATGAAGTAATCAGAGAAAATCGAGCAGGCAGCGACAAAGGGACCACGCAACCACGCGGACCGTGCCATGTTTCCCGGACTGTCGCGGCTCGCGCGACTCTCGTGCCTCGCAGCCCGACGGGCACCATGGGTGCCATCATGCGCTCCTCGAAGGGCAGATTTTCCGTGGGCATCTGCCAGGAGGTTCTCCTCCAAAGACGGCGACGATCCCGACAAAAAAGATAGCTCAGCCACGTCGGTAGTCCTCTCGAAGCGTTTGTCAGAAGACTACGTTGAGAACACCCTGATACCACATCTGGAGAGCCAGCTGCTAGACAACATTCACGTCTACACTCCCGCTGAGCTCGCACAGATCGCGAAGATATATGCCAAACAAGAGGTGCGACAGCGAGCCCTGTGTCAGAAGTTGTCTGACACCATGAAGTTCCGCATTAAGGGATTTGAGGCCATAGATGTGGTCGACTGCCTGGGCCCAATGTGGATCATGACGCCCGACGACGACGAGCTGTTTGAGATGCTGGAACAGCGAATTCTGGAGAAGATGGATGATTTCACGGCTTTGAACTTTATGGGAATTGTCCGGATCTACAACAAGCGAGCCTCCAAGCACCATGATTTGCTGTCGAAGGTGATTCCTAGATTGAAAGAGCTCCTTGCGACCTACGAAGGTGTGGAGCTCTCAGAGATGTTGGTCTCCATGGCACAGTCCGGCGAGGCGAGCGCAGATATGGATATTCTTATGACGCTTGTGCCCGAGATTGAGAGGCGCTACAATGATGTGTCCTTGCTCCATTCCATCAACAACGTGTGGGCGTTGACGCAGATGAAGATCAACCACCAGGGGCTCCTGAAGCGAGTTGCGGAGGACGTCTCTACCCCCCACAAGGTCAAGGATTTAACCCCCGGCTACATGGGCCGTTTGATCTGGGTCTACCGACTCCAGGGCCCGGAGACCTGGGCCTTGGTGAAGGACTCCCTGCTGCCGCTGGTTCGCGGTGCAGCGGCCGAGTTCAAGGCCGGGGAGTTCGCACGCCTGGCGCAGGCGCTCCCCGAGGAGCAGCAGTTCCTCCGTCGGGTGGCCGGCAACCTGCAGCCCACGTTGGGGGACATGGGCCGGCAGGACTTCCTCCTCTTCCTGCTTGGATGTATACACGGAGAAGTCCTCGAGGATAGACCAGATGCCGGGCAAGACTTTGGTGAACTCACTGCTTCCTGCCTGAACTACATCAAGGAAGATCAGGACAACTTCAAACGAGATGAAGTTCAGAAGATCGTATATCTTCTCCACTTCTCGCCAAAGTATCACTATCTCGTTGACGAGATGCCCGTTTCGTGGAATGCCACCAAGCAGGAGACGCTCGATTTCATTCGTGCCAAAGGCTCGTCGCGTCGTGGATGAGCCTCGGTGCAGGGCGAAAACGAGCAAGGTCAGCTTAGCAGGATGCACCAATTAAATTTCCAGGACTGCAGACAGGGTTTGGAGGAGTGAGTCCCAGAGCGAGGTTTTCATTTCCTGCCCGCTGCGCCGGCTCAAGCTGGGCCATGGCTTCGTGCTTCCACGGCTCTACTTCTACGTCAGGTGGGGTCGGGATCGGCTCCTGCTGTCTTAGGACTGATCCTGCACTGTGCTCTTGCGTGGATGGCTGCACGCAGGTCAATGCACAAGGGCTACAGCTCCTGCGATGGAGCATCTTTACCAATTGGCCAGGTTTTGGATGAGCTGCCCTTGAGTTCTTTTCATATTGGCCACGTCCTCTGGACAGCTACCGCTGTGGCACTCTTCGCCATCCACTGTGAGCTGACCCCGTACATGTTTCCAGGCCTACAGATACATTTTGGTAGATACCTCAGTTGAGACCCCTGCATGTCACATCTGCAAGCAGCAGGGTGCGATGCTGCGAGAACAGCAGGTTTGAACACACTTGCAGTGGAACAAGCTAGGTGCAGACAAGGAGGAGCTGTCCACCTACGCAGCTGCATTTCAGGCAGGATGTGCATTCGGGGCACTGGTCGCACCAGTACTGGTCGACAAGCTGGGCCGAGAGCCTACTCTGGTTTTCGGCGCACTCGTGACGACGCTTCTGAACTATAGTTCTGCATTTGCAACTTCGTTCAATATGCTCCTGGGCATAGCTTTGTCATATTGTCAAGTCTTGCAAGAAGCCAGGCGAGAAGCGTTAGTGTCCGTCTCTTGACAAAGCTTTCATGGATCTAGAAATATCTCTGGGATGCGGAAGGCGATACAAGGGTAGCCGTGCGGAAGGGCGCGGAAGCAACGAATACAGAAGCTGATGCATGTGAAGAGACGAGGACCGGACGGCTGTAGAAGTATCGGTGGAAGGTTTGCGATCAAGTGGGTGTTGCGTCAGAGAGAGTGAAAGAGAATAAGGAAAGCACAGCTCAAACAGGGATGGGTTTGTTGGACTCGGGAGTGGCTCTGCTCTGATAGAACCAAGGATTCTTGTTCTGCGAACGCTGAGCTCCGCAAGCTGGGCGATTGCTTACGCAGCTTTGGGCCCCTGGTATGTTGAGCACATTGGCCTGTCAATAGTAATGCGTAAGTCTGCAGGGGACGGGTTGACTTCAGGGTGAAGTATCGTGAAGCCAGATCTTTGTTCATGGTTAGCGGTTAAAGCCTGTTTCCCAGATCTTGTCAATTCTGATGGCTGTCCTCATGGTTGCATTGTCCAGAGGTTCCTTCCAACGACCGCACGTGGGGCGATGCTGGCTGCCATCACGCTGGGGTGGCCTGCAGGACTGGGGTCTTCCAAGCGTTCGGAATCTTCCCGTTCCGGCCTTGCAGGCTGGAGGCTGAAAGCCTCTTTGCGGGAAGCTTGTGCGATGCTCTGCATGCCCTTCTGAGCTTTGCAGCAGTTGCTTTAGAAGTGCTGCCCTATGACGGACCACGCGAGGACGAGCTGTGGTCATCGTAAGCTCTGACTTCTTCAATGACGTAGCTGCCTTAGCAACATTGTGATGCCAAGCGATAAAATGGCAATCGCACTTCCGTTCCATGTGCTGTGCCGCCCCTCTGAAGAGCCCGAATCGGAGACACGGCTAGTAGGAATTTCAAACCTCTCTACCTGCAGTCGAGGATTGGCAAAAGCTGCTGCTGCTAGCTGCTGTGGCGATGGGAGTCCTATTGTTGAGCACGACTCTGATCCACGAGTCGCCTCGATATTTGGTAGCTACTGGCAGGATCGAGGAGGCACCGGTCTGATCCTCTGGCCATGCACAGCGGGGCAGGGTGGAAGCGCTCTTCAGGACGGGTTTGAAGCCTGGCAGGCCAAAGCTGTGCTCTCCGATATCCATCGCAGAAGTGGTGCGCACTGGTCGTCTGATTGCCGGCTTTGCCTGGACCACACGTCCTTGACAGATGAGAGGACAGATGTGTTGACTTAACGGTGTATTGGTGTGTCGTTTGGAAGAGTAAGCGATCAGCAGGTGTACATCGTAGATGCAGACTGCACGGGCGCGATGCAGCACTGCCAGTCTGGAGTGCCTTCTCCTTTTCTGCTCTCGCCGTCATTCTCTGTGCTACGTTTTGGTCCCTGATGGTCCGTTTACTCTCCAGACATCTCGCTTTTACAAGCATGGTTCTCAGCATGGCCTCTTTTGCGAAGGGACGCCCAGGAGAGACAATACAAGGTAAGCCAGCAAACCTTCCAGCAACCCCGCAAAGGTTGAGCTTCACGGGTTTCGCAAGAGATAGTGTGAAGTCAAGTCCGACAACAGGGACAGCGTGTGAATAGCCACGTGGACCCGACGAAGCTGGTGCCGCTTGTTACGCCCAGGAGCTGGTACGAGCTTTTCTCAGCCGAGTACTTGGCAAAGATGCGCTTCTCCCTGCGCCTGGGAAAGAAAGCCTGCCTGCTTTTTGTGTAACGGCTGGCCTAGAGAAAGGCCTGAACAAGCACAGGGCATGGTAGCTGCCAGGACCATGATGTAGACTCTTGCCGAAGAGGATGTAGCAATGTCAGGATTCTATTTTCCCTTCTTTCGATGACGACTTGCCTGATCGACACCTGGGGGCCAATGCTGTTTCAGAATCTCATGTTTCCGGAGGACAATGCAGCTCGCCTTGCTCAGTTGCCCGATTCCCCTAGCTGTGCAGAGAAGCTTTCTGAGGCTTTGCCTCGGATGCTTTTGATGATCTTCAATTTGGGAGACCTCTGCGGGCTGGACTTGACCTTAGCCGCCTTAGCAGACTGAAATGGAGAGACGTCGGAAGCTCTTGGCCCCTCTGAGGTTGTCTCAATCCTAGTGGTGGACTTTATCGGCAGAAAGGGAAGCTTTTTCGTAGGCTCGCGAATGAATTCCTGAAGCCGCTTGTCACGTGGCTGGAGTGCTTTGAGATGCTGCAGAAAGGCTTCGGCTTTCAGGGGACTCTGCTCCTGTGCTTGGCAGGCGAGCTCATGGCTTTCCCTCCTAGGCAACTCATGAGCTCGGTGATGTCTGCTCTGCAGGAACTCATTCCTTAAAGAGTGACGATGCGTGTCTCTACTTGCAGTCGATCTTGGGAGCGAGCCTTGACGGGCAGGGCAAGTCGCCTTGTGAGTGAGTTGAATGCCAATTGGAACTAGTAACTGGTGTCCCGACCAATGAGGATCTCTGCTTCTTGCCGTGGTTTTGCGTGGGAGGCTGAAGGGCTGCTGCTCACTCCCACGTAGTTCAAAGCCCAAAGACGCCAGGCAGCCGTCATGTGGTCTCTGGAGGCTGCATGGTTGCAAACTGAAAGAGTGGAGAGTGCACAGCGGCTGGAAGCGCCGAAAGCTTGAAGGAATTCCCCACATCTCTTCGGGCAGCGGCGCTTTCTCTGTCAAGGGTTGTGATGCACTCCTCTGCGGTCATCACACTCAAGGACGAAATACTGAAAGAGCGCTTTCGTCAGCCATGTGCCCTCCAAGATACTTGCGAATGCTGCAGCACTAGCGATGTCGGCAGGTGTCGGCACAGTGCCTGTCCGCCTTGCCAGCTTTTATGTGGTTGCAAATACTGGGATCCACATGCCTTGCTGCTGGCGCTTCGGGCTCAGTCGGCCTGATGATCCTAAGATGACCATTCGCCATGTTGATGTCCGAGGTAGTCGTGGCCGTTTGCAACCCGACGGAGAGCGCAGGAAAGCCTCTCACGGAACATTCATCTGAGACGTCGTATCGTGCATGTAGTCAGGCTTAGTACGGAGGCCCACAGACTTCTGTCGAGCTGCAAAGGCTTCCTGGCCCTGAGAAAAGAGAAGGATGCCCCTAAGCCCCAAAGCCGCAGGAATCTCGAGATAAATTTGTGCAAGTGCCGAAGATCCTTACAAAGTTCCGAACTGTTGAGCGGGTTTTGGGAGGCTAACGGTGATTCCGCGAAAGATATGGGCTCGAGGTGCCAAGGACACAAGTTCGAGTGGAGCAGATCTGCGAGCTCAGACCAGAGCAGAAGAAACGTCCATGGAGAACTTGATCGACTTTGCCAATGGGCAGCCTTCGGCTGAAGAGCTGCCGAACGAAGTCGTGCGGCAGGCTCTACCTGGTTTTGTGGGCTTCAGGAGGGGGGGGGGAGTGGAGCTAGATGTGTGACACCTACCTCTGGGTTCGCTAAGAGTGATGCACATCAGTAGCACCAGCAGCAGGCTTGTCAGGACCTCTTCACCGACGGTTCTGGAGCACCCAAGCGCCAACGGCTTGGGGCGCTTAGCGCTTCAAGTTACCCAAGCTCAGTTTCCTGGCTCTGCACAGCCCTTCTTTGCTTTAGAGCAATCGCGGTGTCACACTGAGTTCATGTTGATCAGCAGGGTCCTTTGGAGTACGGCGATTTCACCTGGGAATTCCGACACGAGCTGTCGGAGTTCCTCGGGCGGCAAGACTCCTCTCGACGCCGAAGCCCTGATCCTGGAAACCTCTTCCTAACCGCCGGGGTGTCACAAGCGCTTGACATGCTGAGTACGATGTGCGCCGGTCATAGACAAGGGGACGTGGTCCTGGTTGAGAGCCCGACCTATTTCCTGGCACCCGCCATTTTTCGGGATCATGGGCTCGAAGTTGTTGGAGTGGACACTGACTCTGACGGAATGGTGGTCCAGTCCTTGCTGGATGAATTGCAAAAGCTCCAGCTGAGGGGCCGAAGAGCTGCTATGCTCTACACGATCCCAGTTCATCACAATCCCACAGGACGCACCATGCCAGCAGAGAGACGCGAAGCTGTTGTTGGTCTTGCCCGAGACCACGAGATTCTTGTGATCGCTGACGAGGTTTACACCCTCCTTACATACGGTGCGTCCCCACCGGCCACGATGGCCAGTCTTGGCGAGAATGTACTATCTCTGGGAAGTTTCTCAAAGATCTTGGCGCCAGGGCTCCGGGTAGGTTGGATCGAGGGCTCTCCGGAGCAGCTGAAACGATTGAGCAAATGGGGTGTCATAGACAGCGGTGGCCACCTGAGCCACTTCGCCTCCTGCGTTGTTGCCGCCGCCATGAAGTCCCGAGCGTTGGATTCACATCTGGAGCAGCTTCGAAAGAACTTCCAGGAACGTTGTTGGTCCTTGGTGGGAAGCTTAAAGTCTATGCTGCCGGAAGACTGCACCGTGACCAACCCTCATGGTGGCTACTTCGTGTGGGTCAAGCTTCCGCAGCATGTGGATGCTCGTGAGATTGCATCAAGATCTGAAGAGTTTGGTTTTCTTGCCAAGCCCGGCCACCTGTTCACCTTGGACGCATGCAGTGAAGACAGCTTCTTACGCCTGTGCTTTGCGAGGCTGCAGCCTGCACAGCTTGCTGAAGGAGCGAGGCGTTTAGCTGCTGCGATCCAGCACACCATTGATCGTCAGCGTGAAGTTCCGGAAAAGTCCGTCACGTGCGCGATCGCAGAAACGGCCACCGTTGTGCGGTGTCGAGAATCACATTTCTTGCGCTAGCCGAGGTCGAGATCTGTGCGAAAGCATGCCAAGCGGAGATGGCATGTGACTCAGGGTGCATTCCACTCAGTAAGAAGCAGTGACCGAGACAGTTTCCGTGACTCAGGCTGATATAATTTGATATAAGGATATACTGACGCAATTGAGGCCTCGCAGCTTGTCCCACAGCGGCTTGAAGACGCCGAGTTAGGCTTTGGCCCTAGCCGCTTCGGCCAGCCTAAAGCCTAAAGCAAACGCCGTAGAAGTCTGCTCTCGAGTTGAATTTGCCTTCAGGCCGCAGCCTCGTGACAGCTTTCGCTGAAGCGCGTACATGGGAGATGGCGCCAGGACTCCAGTGGCAGCTGTGTGTGTCGATTGTTGAAAGCAGCTCTCATCACAAGCCGGCGATAGGGCAACACATGCAGCATCAAATGGGCTGGTAGGGGCTGGAGCAGCCAGTGCGAGCTTTTTCGTCTTCGACATCGGAGTCCGATCTTGCAGCAGATGTCTACCTGAGGTTGGACGTTCTCCTATGCATGAAAGGTGCGCTTTGAGTTTTGGAAGACATGAAAAGGGAAACTTGCAGCCGACATCAACACATGCACTGACCGCCAGGAGAGGGGCTCGAACCGACCGCAGACACCTTCGCAGATGTTATGTCAGCCTGCGATGCAGGCGTTGTTGCACGCAAGGGACTCCAGCGCACAAGAAATTCCGTATTCTACGGTCTAGACTTGAGCTTACAAGATCTATCTGCCAAGGTTCAGATGCAGAAATCGTGATGCTCCAAGGTTGCATTGCGCAGCATCCCCGAATGTGACGGCGTGTGCTCAAACATGGAGTTGCCGGGAATAGGCCATTTTCAGCAGATTTTCGTGCGGCCTCGTTCGATGGGGGTGCACGCTGGATGGGCGCCTCAGAAGGCGTGGCACAGTACCATCAGGTTGGCAGATGAAGCGCACGGGCGCTGGTCCAAAGCCGTGACCAGACTTTGCCAGGGCTTCTTGCCGACAGTGGCCTTACTGCATGGCATGGGGGTCATCGACTTGGATTCGTTTGTGGCTTCATGCTGGAAGGAAATGTACTCGTGGCCAGCCATTCATTGGGCGATGATTGAAGCACTCGTCGCGGCATTTGCCTTTGTTGCGTGGATTTCGCTGTTTTTCATTCTGAACGAGATTCCTTTTGTGAAGCCCTTCCGGATGGTAGTTCGGACAGAGTCGCACCCTCTTAACTCTCACTGCATGACATCCAGAACTTTCAGCAGAGTCTATGCTTCCTTTCCTGTGTATGTCGGAGGTGTGTGGTTGCTTCACTCGGTCAGGGCTGCACCCAAAGTCCAGGAGGATCCCCCCACAGCCTTCCGGCTTTTCACCGAGCTCTTGCTTGGCATTCTGGCCTACGACTTCATATTCTACTGGATTCACCTGTCGATGCACAAGTTCCCGAACTCATGGCATAAGCACGAGACCCATCATGAGCTGAAAGTGCATCCGGTTTGTGGAACTAGCTTCTTGGGGGTGGAGCTTGTGGTCAACCAATCTATGGAAGATGCCCTCCTTCAGGTGATGACGAACATCTTAGTTCAGAACTTGCCACTTTTTGGCCTGCCGAAGCACAAATTGAGCCGTCTCCTTCACAACATGCTCGTAACATACCTTCTTTCAGAAGCACATTCTGGCTTGGATCTGCCTTGGTCCATGCACAGGATTCTCCCGAACATCTACGGCGGGGCATACCGGCATGAGTTTCATCACCAGAGGAGAGACTGCTGCTTCCATCAGTTCTTCTGCTACTTGGATGACTTCTTTGGCTATGGACCCCCCAAGAAGGTGTCACTCCAGTAGGGACCGGTCGGAGCAGATTAGGATTCCAGCCAGTGCCTTTCGTGCTTTCACTGCACCTGCACTGTGCTGTCACGCAGTTGTGCACCCTGTCGTCACTGGCCAAGCCAGGGTCGCTGTGACTACAGCTCACTTGAACCCGCAAGGTGTCCCTGGAACCCTGTGTCCTTGCCGGGTCTGTAGATTGTAGCATGTCGGGGCGCCAACACACCAGCATTGCGAGGATTTCGCATGCTACACAATTTGTATGCGCTGCGCACGCAGCAGTGCTCGCAGCCATGTGCATTTTTGCATCCAGTTCTCCAGACAGGCGATTAGGGCGCGGGCAATTGGGTGGTTGAAGTATGGAGGCAGGCACAATGACAACATAACATAACGTGGTTTGCCCAGAGGTCGTCCTTGATCGAATGGCCAGTCTGGATTGCTGGCAAAACTGTTTGATGCCGGCCAAATAAAGCTGCTGCAGTGCCCGTGTTGCAGCCTGCTGCCTTCGGATGGAGTAGGCCTCAAGTGCACTCCCCGAACGCAGGAAGCAGGGTGGGATGGACGGACGTGGAGTCCAAGGCCCAATGCCCATGCCTGTGCGTGTGTGTGTGTGTCTCGTTTGTGGAAGAGGCAGGCAGGCAGGCAGGCAGGGCGGACGGCGGCGCGCACGCAAGCGTGCACGCAGAGCTCTCTGTGAAGGCAGACCTCGAGCGGCGCCCGGCCCAGGCGCAGGCCTGGTTTGCCGTTTCAGAGAGTCTCTGAGACTAAAGGTCCTCGCGGAAGACGCCAGGTCATGGCCCTCCTGTGGCGAGCACGCCATTGGGGCACGGATACTCGGAAATGGAAACGACGCACGACGTTTCTGCGTGCAAGCGACGGCGATGCTTCGCATGCTGTAAGCACTGTAAGGTGTGGAGACGAATGCGAGGCTCTACCGGACTGCTATAGATGCGTGTTCGTCGCGGCTATGGGCCGGATTCCTTCCCCAGAAAGACATTATTTGCAGCTCCAGCCGCAAGCCTAAGGCACTTGCTGTGAGCCTTCTCGTCGAAATGGAGGCTTGCAGAGTGCATGCCAGCGCTTCTCATATCCTTCAGTGATAGGCAGACGGCTTCAACCCGTTACCCGCTGACCTGGACACCGCAATTCAGGCGGCAAGTCGGACATGTCCCAGTCAGAAGCAAAAGTTTTGATCAGCTCGGACTTGGGCAGGTCCTTGCTGGTGCTCAGGAAGAGGCCAGGCCAGGCCAAGCCGTGAAAGATCGGAAGCGTTGCGGGTCTGCTCCCAGGCGCAAAGGGGCAGAACGCGGCAGGAGAAGCGAGAGATTTCCATCCGGAATGCAGCCGTCTCATTGCGGGCTTTGGCTTGCCGAGTATGATCGTGGGAGACTGTTTCTTTGCAAGGTGCTGAGGGCCAGAACTTCCCAACCCACACAGGAGCCTCGCACTCCGAAGCTCTGAGCTAAGGGCGAGTTCCGCGAGAAGCATGTGAAGCGTCCCTACAAGTAGACTTGAAAGCTTTTCTCTTTTCAAAAGGTGGGACTTTCCGCCAGTTGTCGTGTGGTGCTCGGATGTTCCCAGCTGCCCCAAAGTAGGGCCCTGGCCCTGGCCCCTTTTGCAAAAAAGGTCGAGTCGATGCCGGCAACGCCGAAGAGGGCTCCCGGCCGCCCCAGCCGCGAGCAGACAGAGGTCGAGCTGGAGGACGCGCGAGGCCCAGGTTCTCTCAGTTCTCTCTTTCGGGCCTTGCCCTGCGTTTTTAGGAGCGATCTCGGAGCTTCTCAGGTATTAGCAGAGGAACGTGTCCGAAGCAACTTACCCTGGAGTGGTGGAGGCCCTTGGAGCCCTGCACCCAGCCAAAAGCCATCGCACCCCAGCCCCAAGCACATGCATTGGTCCAACCATCTTTAGGACAGTGGGAGATGGCTTGCACCTCAGAGACTTCTCTGTTGCGACTCCTGTGGGAACACTGTGATTTCCTTGCTTGTGTTAGCTGCTGGAGGAAGGGAGATGTCCACGAGTGCCACACGTTCGCCAGGCTGTCAGCCTTCTGGAGAAGATCCAGATTTCGAGTTTCAGCTGTAAGCCAAGCTACTGTTGCTCTTGACACGACAGCAGACAGATGCGGTTTGGCCGACTGCAGGTCCAGAGATTGCCGCTTTGAATGCAGTCATTACGGCCTGTGCTCGGGCGCAAGAGCTGGTGAGGGCCCTAGTCCAACTGCAACTCAAATATGGCGAAGCCTCCTGAGCAAGGCGCAGTGCAAACTCGTGCTGGACACGATGAAGGGCTGCGGTCTCGGAGGTCAATAGGACTTCTTCCGGCAGCGTTGCGTCTTTGCTGTAGGCGAATCAGTGCAGCCGGACGCAGTCACCTGCGCCCAGCTCATAGGCGGGGGAAGGTGATGCTTGCCGTCACCTAAACCATGCTCTTCAGGTGGATGCTGCCAAAGAGGCCTCTGGGAGCAGGTTCGCTGGCCGCTTGACCTGCGGAGCAGCGCGCAATCAGTGTTTTTTTTGTCTTATGCTTTTCAGGCGCTGCTCATCCTTGGCCGCGCTCGAGATCTATCCGTGGCCAGCATGTCCACCTGTGAGGAGGGCCTGAAGGCACCTTGTAGGAGGGTCCCCTTTGACCTAGGGGCCGCTGCCACGTGGCAGGCCTGTTTCCGAGGACGACAGCCGCGGCTCGTCGCTGGCCCGGTTTGGGTCATTCTGGAAAGAGGACGGCTTTCGCTCATGAGGCCCTTCTTCTCTTGGCCGAGATGGATCGTGGCCGACTTATCCTTTCAGCAGAGCAGATTGTGCAAGCAGCTGAAGCCGGAAACAGGTATGCCGACAGGTGTACAGCCCTCAATCGTGCTGTGCACCCGTCCGAAGACTGCGTTGCGAGCTTCCGTTGTCACGGCAAGGAGGCAAACTGTGAATTTGTTTAAGTCGTACTCTACCCAAAGCTGTAGGTCTCGACTCCAGCGATCAACACCGCGATTGCCACCTGCGCTCGCTTCGGTCTGTGGACGCAGGTGGGTGTTGCTTTGAGCATCGTCATGGGTGCGTTGTGCAGAACCAGACTCCCGGAGACTAGTAGAGCCACTGGACTGGACCTGACAAGCACGAGTCAGGCGATTGCTCTGCTGAGCGAGCTGCAGTCGCCGGGTGCTTTGTGGCTTCTTGCAACTTGCAAACCTCGCTGCCTCGCTTTACGTCAACCGAGGCTAGGACCGAATCACCCAATTTGCACTAGCCACTAGCCGAGCGTGGTTCCTGCTGAGGCGGCTGATGACGCCAAGCTTTGCTACATATGCTGCAGCTGCTGACAGAGACTCGGATTCGAGTGCGAAGACAATTGAAGACAATCCACGGCCGCAGAAGCGTCGAGCCATGCTGCAAAGTCTTATAGCGGCACGCTCCTGCTTTCTTAGCCGAAAGCCACTCCTGGAGTGAGGCTGCCTGCGATGCTGCACCGTCTCTCGCATGGGAGCAGGCCCTCCTATTGCTGGAGGACCGAGTTTTATTACCTGGAACGGGACGTCTGAGATCAAGCCCAACCCCTCGAAGGAGTCGCAACGGCTTGGATTGGCAAGCGGCGAGACCTATGCAAGTGCCGCCTGACGCCTACACAACAGCTGTCGCGCCGTACATTCAGATATTCCCTCCGATTACTTTGCGTTTGCTAAGATCGCGTGCTGCGGGCAGCGCTGGCAGCTCATTGTTTCAGCCTGGCTCCCAACATGAAGCGGAAATCTGCGCGCACGATTCACGTGCGCAGGCATATGTCTCGCAGTCTAGCCAGCCTCAATGGAAAAAGCTGCGATAGTCCTAACTTCAGAGCCGGCTAAGTTCGACTCACAAGGCTCTGGTTGACATGACTTCCGCGAGGGTGCTGCCAGCTCCCCGAACGCTGGCTACTCAGCTCTTCCGACAGGAAGCCGTTTTAAAGATGTTGAGTGCCGGAAACGGCAGGTACTCCGATGTCCTGCGCAGCTTCAGCGAGCTGCGCCTTGCCGGAGTCGCCGTGGGGAGCTCCAGAGCGGCGACCGCGAAAGGGGGCCTCCGCAAGACGAGCGTCTCGCAGCGCGTGTGCAGCAAGCGAGGTCGAGCTTCTTGAGGACCCCCTGAGGAAAGAGTTGCCTCCTGGCTGAGGAGGGGTCTCAGGAAGCCACCCCAGGTCGCTTTGCGCGCCTGATTTCTTTCACATAGCCGCTGTGAGCCTGTTGCTGCCAGACACCGGAGCTTGGGTGTATCCTACACTAATGTCAAAGGAGCCACTAGCCTAGCGACTTGCCACAGCGTGCAATCAACGACTCGCAGACAGCACCCCGGTCCCGTGCTCGTTGGATGACAAAGAAGCTATTCACATTGCAACAGGATCCAGGAATTGTGTGCTGCAGATTCTATCCAGTGCTGTGCAGCCATGTGGGTGAGATGTGAGCTTGCGTGCGTCGCGACGAGCCTTGAATCTGCATCATAAGCTGCAATGAAGTGAAAGTGGTGACGCACCGGGGCCTTTGTAGGAAATCCTGAGGTTTTGCTAGAAGGCACTGCGCTCAGTCATGGCCTACTTGCAGAGACCATAGCACCGCAAGCCCAAAGCAAAAGCTCCGGAACGCGGTCGGAGGTTTTGCAGTGTTCTAGGTGACGGCCAACAACCGAAGAAGTCCACCGATCTGGAGAAACGCCTTCAAAGGAATGTGCAATCTGCAACATCGGTTATCTCGGAGCTTTACAAAATGGCTCCCCGCTCTTCATGTATTGTGGGACAAGGCCGCGCCGGACAGCTGCTAAGGCATGGGATCCTCCCATGTGGCTGTCCGCCAGGGCCAACTTGATCCTCAGGGGGTGTCAGGACAGCGGAGCCATGGGCTCAAGCTTGTGCCATGCTCTGACGCGGCGCGCATCGCGGCGCCCGGAGGGCCCAGGACTCGGCGCTCGACTCGTCTCTCTCTTCCTCTCTCTTCTCGACTCTCAGGGAGCACCAATGGTGGTCGGCGAGGTGGCCTCAGGCCACGTGACACGGCCTCCCCGACATGGCTTCCAGTCGGAGATTTGTCTGGATTCTCACCTTGCTGCCTCAGCACGACGTGTCGGGAACACGGGCAGAAGCGTGCATCTTGCCCCTTGCTCTTCAACTCCCAGGTTGTACTTTTCGCCCTCTCTCTCGCTCTCATTCTCTTGCTTGCTTGCTTGCTTGCTTGCTTGCTTCACTTTTTTGCTTGCTCGCTGACTCTCTCCGACATCTCCGCTTGATAAATTTTGTGTCTAATCAGTTGCTTGGTTGATGATGGGTAGGTGCTTATTGGTTTGAACAGCCCGCTTGCCACATTTTTTTGACCGTCGTTTCAACACTCAGCAATGGGATTTGTTGTACTTGGTGGCTTAGGCTCACAGTTTCTCTTCTTGGGGTTCTTCACTATGCTGATCCGTCTCTTCACATTCATTGTATTTGCCTGTTGTGCTCTTTGTTTGTTACTCAGATGTGGGAGCTGATCGTCAGACAAGTCTTGAAACGTCCGGAGAGATTTTTTCTGATGCATCACTTTTTCGTTATCGCCTTTGCAGGTCAACACTTGTAGGACAGCCTCAACTTTCTTAGCACCGTCGGAAGGCCTGTCAGGTATGGGGTCACTGTAATCTTACCACCAAGGCATTGTAGAAAGTTGCCGCTTGTAAGTCGAGGTCTGGCTACCACCTCGCACATCCCGCTCTCCCTCTCTCTCTGTCTCTCTCTCGGTGTCGGCCGCCGCTTTCTTCCAAGAAGGCTGGCCTACCCATATGTCGACGGACGGAAGTCGTAGTCTGCCGACGTGACAGGTGGCTGTCGGACAAGAGCCAAACCTCCCGAGCCAGCGCTACAGCCTAGGCCTTGGATCCACCGATGTGGGGCAGTTGGCAGAATCTTGCTCTGCGAAGGGGAGGGCCGTTGCAGTTGAGGTCCTAGCACGACAGGTTCCAAACATGAAGCATCATTATACATGGCTTCTTCAATAGCTGCTGAAGCACCGAGGCCGAAACCCCAATCTCTCGTCCGTCTCCCCAAGGAACCTAAAACCCGGAAGGCTCTGCGGCACGTTGGGCTGCTGTACTCTCAAGTCTTCCCAACTTTCCTCAGGCTTTGCGCCATCCCGCTACCGGCGAGGCTGAGACATAATCGCATACTGGTTACTAGTTACTAGTGACTAGTGGCAGTGGCCGTCTCGCGCATTTCGCCTCGATCACAGCCCGGATCTTCACGAAGCCTGGCCAGGACGGTTTAGATTGCGTAACTAGGCTCTGGCCGCGACGATGCATCCTGACCTTCGCAGTACATCCTTGCAAGATCTCGCAAGCACTCTGGGTGCAGAGTGTGTCAGCTTCTCTGTGCCGGCAAGGCTGCTCCGGTTGGTGATCGATACAACAGGGAACCGATTCCGGACGAGGCAGACCAATGCAGCCCCGTGAAGTCGTCGACTAAGTTCTGCTGTGCCGTCTCGTCAGGAATGGTGGCTGCGTGGGAACAACCGATCCAAGGCACCTGAGCCAAACTTCAGCGACCGCGCCCTCCCTCCCCCCACCGTGAACACAAGCGATCTAAGCTGTGAAGAAGTTTGTGCACGTGGCAAATGCCAGCTCCTGACAACGGCTCCCTTCACCTTCTATGATGGCAACCCACTGGCGAAGAAGAACTTTCAGGCATCTGTTGTGCATTATCGTTACCGCACCTTGCGGTTTACGTCTTCGCAACACCTGGCAGGCTCAGTGCGTGGGTCCGGATCATTCACGCCGAGTGCAGCCGCCTGAGCTTAGTAGGTTAGAAATCCCTCGAAGGAGAGTACTAAAAGGCTGCAAAAAACGGGGGGGGGCCTGTCGGACCTCTGAGGGGGACCCCTTTTTTGTGCCTTTGTCTTTTGCTCTCGTCGCTCGCCTCGCTTTGCTTTCCGAGGGCCCAGCAGCTCGGCCGCATCGGCCACAGCTTCTCGGAGGCCAACCTGCAAGTCCTCAAGGAGGAGACAGAGGGAGAGAGGGAGGGACGAAAGAGCCCCAAAAGAGGGCCGGAAGAGGGAGGGAAAGGGAGGGAGATACCATGCCATGCTGTTCTGGAAAAAATTAGAAGCGGTGTGTCCCTGCAGGACCCCCATGCGCGTCGGTACATGTCACAGAAGTACGCGGAGCTGATGCAGCGCCCACAGGCCGTTGCCAGTCCGTCAGAGGCGCGGGGCCCACAGCGAGCTCCTCTGAAGGGCTCCGAGGAAGGGAGGAGAGGCAGGACGCGACTTGGCCAGCTGGCCTCGACGGGGAATTGGAAGCTTCCCAAAGCTGAGTCTGGAGCCCAAACCTTCCTGGGTCTCTGTCGCCTCCTGCTGGGATCACTGAGGCTGCGACAGACAATGGATGGCAAGAACGTGATCATGCTGCGCCTGCCTGAATTGCATTCCGTTCATGCATGTGTGTGTGTGTGTGTGTGTATATATATATATAAATGTATATATATATATATAAATGTATATGCAAAAATATGTTTATACATTTTTTGTATACATGCGTGTGTGGCTCTCTCTGTCTCTGTGCGAGTGTTGGTATATGCAGTCGCAGCATGCGATCTCGACAGAGCACGAGGCCAAATCCGCGCCTGCCGCGTGAGAACGCACCATGGCATAGTTGTGCAGCTGGGTTTTTCTCGCCCGCATTGCGCCTTGAGCAGAAGGCATCCATGGATATCCACAACCCCATGCCACCAATTCTTGGGCGCCCCAAGCTGGCTTCTCAGTCACGCGCGTCCACAGGCGAGGATCGCCGAGAGTTCCGAAGGTCACCTTAGGTCGCCTTGTTTCGACCCCGAGGTTCCACTACACTTTCGACTACAACGGTGAGCGGCTTGCAATGTAGAGGCTTTCTGTCGGCAACAAGCTGAAAAAGCGATGTTATCTCCGAGCCGGAGACGGTCTCACTGTGTCTCACCGAGAGACGAAGTCTGCAAAGCAGATCAAGCATCACAACGGGAAAGCTCCATAAAGTCTGAATCACGAGCTTTTTTTCTGACGACTGTGCAGTGGCTCGCCTCAGAGACAAGTTTTGAGGCATTTCCGTTGCGGAACCACGAATTCGGCTCAAGCCACAACCCGTTGAACCACACAACCCAACCCACAAACAGTTTTTGGCCTTTTCGGCAGGCCGGCTCAGTGAATTCGATTGCCCTTTCCGCTGGGGCCAAGAGTCCAAGACAACACCTGCTTTGTCAAGGCTGCAATTTTCGCTGTTGGCTGACACAATGGCTGGATCCTTGGTTCTGGGAACCAAAACCTAGGGCTTCCCGGACTCCTGGGCTTCGCCGCAGCCGAGAGATCTGCGAAGTTCTCAGCTCTTCCGAGGCCTTCGCAGTCCGTGCCGCATTTGCGCTTGGCGCCCGCGGCTCGAAAGGCTGGCGCTTACGGCTTACTTCTGTCCCTTCAGGGTAGCGGAAGAGATGTCGTTTCACGCAGCTTTCTTACGCAAGCTGCTCAGCTTCATGACGCCAAGCTGACATGTGAGCAACACCAGCACTCTTGATGTCAGAAGCAGCTTTTCTAGTGATGCCGGTGGCTACTGACTGCTGCGGTCGGGTAGGTGCGACGCGCAGCTTTGCCGTGGGGGCGAACCCGGCAAGTTTGAGCACCCAAAGCCGAAGTGACATGATGCTGTCAATGGTAAGAGACTTCTGCCCGAAGCTGGGGCTTATGAAATGATTCCGTGCCCATGGTAGGTCTTCCAACGAAACAAACCACACATGAACATCGGCACCATCGGCCACGTCGATCACGGAGTCTTGGTATCCAGTGACATGTTTTGCAGGCTTTCGGGATAAGTTTGTCGGTCATCCAGAAATCGGGCGTGTGAGACAAAGCATTACTTGGCCTTCAGGAACTGCGGTCGGTAGCAAGACTGTAGTCCTCCATGTGGCTCTCAGCGAAATTCCCTTGAATGATCCGTCTACAGCATTCGTCCCAGACCCTCGTAGGATCCGACCTTTGCTTCCCGTCGTGCTAAGGAAAAACCACTTTGACTGCAGCTATCACAAAGGCCATAACTCTTCCACGACAGGAGCCGGTCGATGCAAGCATGTTGGTCGGCACATACCGGTTCAGGTTATGGCAGATGAAGGGCGAGCTGAGTTCAGAGCCTATGAAGCGATTGACAAGGCTCCCTCTGCAGTCTTTCTCCAGCCTCGGTTGAATAGACTCCTGCAGCGACAGGCTCCTGAGGAACAAAAGCGTTCGAGTCTTACCTATTGATAGGTAAACCGCTTGTTGCTACGAATGTCTTCCTCTACCGTGCTTTTACTGGGCTTCCAGGTGGCATCACCATCAACCAGGCTCATGTAGAGTATGAGACGGACAAGCGGCACTATGGACATGTAGACTGTCGGGCTCTTGGCGCATGACACAACTATGCCACGCAACGCTGCAGCCCCGTGGTCATCGAGGTCCTGGTCATGCTGATTATGTCAAGAACATGATCACCGGCGCATCTCAACTGCGCTTGAAAACTGTGATTCAAAATCGGGCTGACAAGTTGGGCTGTCGCCGAGGCCGCCCAGATGGATGGAGCCATCCTGGTGGTGTCAGGCCAGCGAGGGAGCTTCTCTGGCTCTCGAGGCTGTTCTTCCCTTTACGGCATCTGCGAGGTTATGACGGACCAATGCCACAGACTCGAGAGCACATCTTGCTCTCCAAACAGGTTGGAGTGTTGCGGCCCAAGAGGATGGCTCAGATGTTGCCGCAGCTCAGCAGGATCCTGTCAGATGAAGGATATTCGTATCGTGCCTGCTGCCTTCCGTCTTGGCTCAAACAGCTTGAATTCTTGTTTTTTGTAGGAGTAGGATCACCCTGTTGTGATCGGCAGTGCGCCGAATGGCAGTGCCCTTTGCATCGCTTGCAGTGCACTACAGCAGGTGTGGACTGGAGAAGGCTTGTCCCTGGCTGGGGCTTACAAGACTTAAGCGCAGGCTAAAGGGCTGGTCGGATCTTACGAGCGTGAGCAACGAGCCTTGTTGTCTTGTCGTCTCTGTTTGGAGGTCTGGAGCACCCAGCTCCGATGGGAGGGCAAAGATGGCCCAGAGGAGGTCGCCGACGTTCGCCGGGCCATGGCTGAAGCTGTAGGCCAGCATCTGCCGCAGCGCTTTGAATGGATCGCCTTTTCTCGTGGCTAGGGTGGTTGCAGCAGTACAGCATTACTTAGCTGGAGAAATGGAATAACCCGCAGCAGACGGTTTGTTTATCTCACCGAATCTTGCCATGAAGCTGCCTGTAACCCACACAAGGAACGGCATTCTTGAGTAAACAGATGTCTGGAGGTTGAAGATGCTGTCTTTTAACTTCAAAACCAATGACATGCTGCATTCGAAGATACATGCGATCACATCTTAAGCGGGTAAACTGAAGATCGTGAAGTAGAGACCGCCACCAGCACAACTACGTTCCAGTCGCGACCTGAAACGGAACTACTGACTGCTCCACCGAAAAGCCGGAGCCATCTGTCATTACTTGAGGGGCAGGTGTCAGGTACATCGCAACCCGAAGCAGGGTTGCATTAAGAAGTGTCCTCTTTGAAGGCATCTCGGCCGGCAGCCTCAGCTTGCTCTGCTTACAGCGGAAGCCTGGCAGCCCACAGAACACGCTGAAGCCTGTCTCGGGGCAAAGTCTTCCGGCAAAGGTTCAGCAGAAGAGGCAAGATAAACTTTAGACTTTAGTGTCTGCAAGTTTGTAAGTAAGCATGCATGCATGCATGCATGCATGTATGTATGTATGTATGTATGTATGGATGGATGGATGGATGGATGGATGGATGGATGGATGTATATACGTATATGTATATGAATGTGTGTTTGCATGTGTACGTATCTGTGTTTGTGTACGTGTAAGTGTGTGCATGTATATATATATATGTGTATATATATATATATATATGTGTGTGTGTGTGTCTGCGTATGCGCATGCGTATTTGTATGTGTATATATGTATACGTGCGTGAGCAGGAAGCTCATTGCATTGGTTCAGTTGAAAAATCCGAAGTTTGAGATGTATGCAGTTGAGATATTGCTTAGTGCTCTGACGGCCTCAGAATTTACAGACTCATCTTCAAAAAAATCATACTTGCTCACAAAACAGTGCAAAGAAGCTTGGTGAGGTGGTTAGGAGGGACTCATCATGTCCTGAGCCCAAAACCACTGCTACCACTGCTGCCACTGCTGCTACCGCTTCTGCTTTCGCTGCTACTACTGCTGCTGCTGCTGCTGCTACCACTTCTGCTTTCGCTGCTACTACTGCTGCTGCTGCT